CGTATTAAGCGGGTTCCGTATATTATATTAGCCTTAATTTGAAAAGAAAAACAATGGATTAGAAGGTGTGTACAAAGTGTTTTATATAGAAATGAATATACCGGGACAGAAAATGTCATGTTAGTAACAGCTAGGATTCTTGTATTATTGTCTTAAGTCAATATTTTACTAAAAGATTACTATGAATCGGGCCAGGATTTAGAGAAATCATCGTAGTCTCATCAGCGTAACGAGCGAATATGGCCGCCGGAGGCGGCCATTTTGCGAGTATATAATAAACAGAATAATAAATATTGTGGTTACTTAATTTTGTGGGCCGTGAATTAAGTGGGTGAAATAAAAACCTCTGTTTATTTCGAGCACAACGTGTTAGCAACGTTGGGGTTTAATTTAAAAAGACTCGGAGTCTAATTTAACCCCTCGGAGGCTATTAATGGCAATGAACAAAACAAAACGCTTAGCTGACACAGGATAACAGTGACAATATATATATAAATAGGGTGCATGCAACTTCAGTCAGGAAGTCAAGGAAACTTGCACACTGCAGCCCAGCTAATCAGCTAATCTGTCATACCTGCACAAGTGGCCACATGTCCACAAGAAGTTGTTTATCCTTTTGCAGCAAATAATCTCTGTATACTTGCAGGACGAACTTTAAGTTGAGATCCTTCCAGTTGCCAGTATCATGCACTCGGTAGCCATTCACCCTTTCCCATGGCTCATCATCTGTTGTAGAAATTCCAGCTCTTAGCATTTCAATAAATCATGTTAAAGACAGAATGTCCAAAACACATCAAGCCACTATCTACATGTTTGCGCAGTGTATAAATTATAATCAGTTGAAACTTTGCAGAAGGTGAACCCATGCTAGGATTACCAACTACTGTGTACGCTGTATATTTCGTGGTGGTTTAATTTTTGCGAATTTCGCGAACGCGTTCCTGACCGCGAAAATAACAAAATGTACGCGAAAATAACGACACACCGTTCTTCACTGATTCGGGAATTCACCGACCACGAAATTTACCACTCGCGAAATTGTCCGTCAGGTCTGAATTCGCGAAAAATATGGCGTATACAGTAAAACAGTTATCTATTTAATAATCAGTGTAGTAGTAATAGTCTGTATTCCATCTCTGCGGCACAGATAACCACTGACCTGGGTCACCCATGTCATGAGGAACAGCATTAGCAAGCTTCCTAACATCTGTATTTCCCTCAAAGAGGTGCAGGATAGACTCATCATCTGTGTACTGGATAACGGAAGCTGCGGAAAGACAATGAAATACCGCAATTATAACAAGTGCCGCGGAGCGACAGCGCTCATCTAACGTCTACTGCGGTGACTCTGTGGTGGAGTGGTGGGATTCTAGTAAACCCTGTTAGTCCCAAATGTGTTCACATACACTCGATATCACGCCGAAACGTGACTATGCACAGGGATGGTTCAGGAACTTCTCAAGATAGTTGGTTGGAATCGATTAATAAGGAGTTGCCGGCCACGGCTGCCGCGTCAGGGGTGGGGGGGGAAGGGGGGGGTCGTTTAAGTGTCTTCAGATTAAAGAATGGAAGCTCGCCCAATCAGTACCGTAGTAGCAAACAAGCTATTTGCAAGACAGAATAGCGTAAGCATGCGCACTCATGGCCTTTCCCACGCAAAGCCTACATGCTGCATAGAGGAGCTGCACCTGTAAAACCAATTACGCAGGCGAAAAACACACAGGACCGGCCACCCAGGACACTCACTTGGCATTGCATAACGTTACAAGTACACATAACTGACAGTACAGAATCGCATACCGGTGAAAGTAATACGATTTAAGAACAATAAAACTTCTTCCAACCATAATTTAGCCTTTTGAATTTCACGTCTGTTACAATTGGTAGCCTCATACATCGCAAATGGTAATAATGATTCTAAGCTAGCAAGCGCCGCAGTACAATTCTTTTTAAACCAGAGCAAGTAACAAATCCTCATGTTTACCCTCCTCTTAGGGTCAAAAGTTAGATCCCGGAGACTGCTACTAACTAACTATATCGCATGGTCCGCAGACGTAACATTTCAGTTGGACCTTTCAATAAACGGACCATCAAAATATGCGAAGGTCAGCCCGCTGAAACTAAAACAAGCTTTTTTCCAATCGCTCGTCAGACCATGTCCTCTACGCATAACAATGTCTAGTTCTCTGCAACAACAACAATCGAGGA